AGAGTCGGGGTGGAAGGTGGCAAAGGCGAGAATATGGCGGCAGGTGGGGGGTAAGGGGGGGGGGGGCCGCGGGGGGGGGGGGGGAGGAGGGTGAGCTGGCTTGAGGAGGGACTAAGCAGAAGCACTCAAGTGGCTTTGGAAAAATTGCTGGAGTCACAAGCTCCTGTGGGCTGGGGCCAGCCAGCTAAGCTGCCTGAGTTTTTGCACCAGGGGAACTTGTTGGCAATAGGCCTGTTCTGAAAGCTGTCAAAGCAAATGCTGACCCCCTGCTCCTTTTTCTTGTTCTTGCTAAAATGAAGATGACAAACTGCGCAGAAGTCAAGACCTCGGTGATTACACAGGCTGTCACAAAAGCAGCATGAACTCCAGTTCCCATTACTTAAGTTTAAAGTGTTAGCCATGCATCAATGCATTCAATTAAAATGTGACCTAAACATCACGCAGGAGCAGCTATTTCCAAGTCCCATAATGAAAAGCAAAGGGGTTGGCACTTTTCATCATCTGTAGGCATTACTTGTATCTAGTCCCTTCTTTTCTCCATGCATTCTCTTTCTGTTCATCCTCCTAAAGTCAAAAGCGGAGCTAGTTACAGAGCCCAGAATCTAGGGCAGTCTTTTAAAGATCTCTCCTGTGTGGTGGTATTTCCTACTCACCTACTCGGTGATGAGCTGCTGATTAGAGAGCTCAGAAGGCTATTTCTGCAATCAAATACCTGCTTACAGAGTGAAAAGACCAGAGAAAGTGATCAGGCTGACAAATTTACCGAGTGAGAAAATGTCTCCTGCCCTGCATCCTACAAGGGAGACTACACAGAGGCAACGTGGATTACAACCGGCAGGGGCCATACCTGACTTGGGGAACCTCTCCTATTTTATTGCGAGGGTTCATGAGTGGGCAGCTCTGCTTTTTATTCTAAATACACAGTGTGTTTTGCAGACTTTCAAGTCAACCTATTAGGGATACATATATAAGAGTAGGCTTCTGTGGGACTTTAGTGTGTGTGTGGTTGGTCTCACACGCAGACAGCTTCCTTTCTGTCCTTGGGGAGGAGGCAGAAGTGGGCAGGGGACCGCGGTTGGCTGTTTTTCTTGAGGAAAACCTTGACTTATAGCCTCCCTTCTGGATTCTGTGATTTTTATCTGCTTAGTGATGCAAACATCATGACGAATATTCCAGACTGTTGTTGGAAAGAGGAGATAAGAGCCCATCAGAGCCTCCCCTTTAGTGAGCTTAAGCTGTTTTGTGCAAGTCCTGAAGTCTGAAAAATAGAGGTTATTAGAATGAGTTACGTTCTTGGTGTGCGTTGCATTGCCTGGAGGCTGTGCAACTCTGAGGTGTACTTAATGGTTTCTTCCTGATTTTGCTTTTCTTAGGACTGACTCAAATCCCCCAGGTACAAAAGACAGAAATTTCCTTTACTGCCTCCGATCCCAAAAGTTTTGACCTGTATGTGAAGAACCTTGAGAAGTTCTTAAAGGACTACAGCGCTGATCAACAAACTGAAAACATAGTATTTCAGGACTGTGGGGGTAAGTCTCAATTGTTTCCTGCAGCTGAGGGCTCTGACCAATGCCTCTGCGTCAGGTCCATCAGAAGCCGAGGGTGAGCAGTGGCGGTCTCTGTCTTTGGCTGTTCCTTTTATTGTAACCAACGGCACGTTGGTAAACTGGCAGGCTCTGGTTTCAGTCATACGGCTGCTCATTAAGTGATTAGTTTGGACAGACCGGACTTGGCCAGGGATGTACCTAGAAGCTTATTGTAGAGGTTATATGGTTGGGAACTCCCAGATTTCACTTGGAGAAAGTTGCAGCTGGCTCTGAAAAGCACGTGGCGCTGACCTTATCCTCTCTGAACCCACGGGGGTTTTACTGACGACTTTGCTAAAGCCAGTGTCGGTCCTCTTGATGCAATGCAGCAAAACATCTGGGAGGTACTAGCCTTTAATAGATTAGATGTGATAATGCAGAATGAGACTATCACCTCGTAATACGTGCATGTAAAATCTGAGGGGAACCTGCTTGTAAAAGCTGCCAAAAAAAATCCCTGAGCCAGTGGATTACAAATGTGTTTGTTCTCTTGTAGTCTGGAAGAACTCTCAGTTAAAAAACAAAACCCCCGCAGACTTGCTGGTCTGGGACCAGCCCACACGTGGGGGGTGGCTGGGTGCAGGTCTGTGGTGTCACTTACCTGTTTGGACGCAGGGGATGTCCTAACTACACAGTGAAGCGTAAGTGTTGCTGTTCCTGACAAGCAAAAGGTCACGTTGCATACGGTTGTCTTTTCGTTCCCCTACCGTGACAGACACACCTACCGATTACAAAGAGAGAGGACCATATAATGACGCCCAGGGCCAGAAGAAGGTCTGCAAATTCAAACGTGAATGGCTGGAAAACTGTTCTGGAATAAATGATCCCACCTTTGGGTACAGGGATGGCAAACCATGCATCCTCATCAAGCTCAACAGAATTATCGGCTTCAAACCTAAGGCAAGTACCTCTTCCCTTTCTAGCAGAAGCTACTGATAAGGAGGAGGAGTTGGCTGCAGATTTGCTGTGCCTGCTTTTCTGTCTCTGGAGAGAGATCAGTATTAAACCCTTTCTGCAGAGGAGAAGTTGGGAGGTGGTTTGAGTAACTGGCTTTAAAAATACTTTTCATTAAAAAGCAATGAAAACTGCACACCGCAAGTTGGTAACAAGGAGCAATGAACCTCACAGTGCAAACTCCTGGTTATTTATCTGGTACCTTCTGAGCCTCCTAACTGAATTGCTCTAACGGGGTATTTTCTTCAAATGATAAAACCCATTTTAAGTTTCTGTGCTTCCATGGGACCGTCCCGGACCGACTCTATCTGTGGTAAATCAGTACGTCGTGTCATGTCCCAATCTACTCCATTCTTTACTCAGGCAGTGTAGAGTTGCCTGCCTTGCTAAGACCACTTAATTAAATGAAGTCGTGCTAATATTCACCATCAGACTGATACACAGTCTATAAAGCGTAAACTACATCTGAGAGTCAGGCATGGCTCTTATTGCAAGAAAGGCGAGGAGAGCTTTAGGTTATTTAATGCAGTTTCTCAGATGCTGTAGCATGTCTCTGTCACCCGCTTGCTCTGTGCTGCACCTGAAGGCATGTTTGCAGTAATGCTGAAGGATGTTAATCTGGACGGAATGGCTTTTACTTCTAGTTTTTTCCCCAACACATTCTATGATTCTATGGAATGCTAAAAAATTCTCTAAGAATTCAGTGGCAGAACACGTTATTGAGTAAGGTGGTGTGCAAAACCTGCCGCTCCATCTTCTGGATGGAAAACAGTGGAAATGGTGTGCTAAGCCACCTTCACCACTGTCCGTCAGTGCAGTCGAGGACGGGGAATGGTGCTGTCTAGCTAATGTTTTGAGGAACATTTTTCTTCAAAGGGAGCCCGCCCTGTGCTAAAAGAAATGAGTTGAATTTTGGCTCATCTGATCCAGGGTGGAAACAGTGGGTGCGTTTTAGCAGGAATGTGCTGTGCTTGGTACGCGGTGGTTGTGGGATGATGTAAGATGCGCACGTTTGATGACTGGGGAAGAGAAGGGTTTGGTGCGTTGCTCTTTTCTTTGCCACAGAGCTCTGAAGAGCTCCAGACTGCGTTAGACAGCAGGGTCTAGTCAAGGAATGACTTTACATGTTTCGTTTAGAAATGGTGTGTATCCAAGGCAGTATTTGTTTCCCACGCTCCAGCAGAGACCTTACATAGCTCTTGTGTCGGGCAAGGTGTGTGTAAAGCAGATCTGAGACCTGCAAGGTTGTGAAGCAAAAACTACTGCACTTGTTAAGAAGCCGAAGACCAACATCAGAGTTGGCACTCCCACCTTTCCCTGACATACTCGGAGCCTTTGTCCTTCCCTGTAGGTGGTGTCAAAGTTCAGCAACCTCAGGGTGTGACTGCCACTCTTTGTTCTTTCTTGTGCACTTCCAGTCCTAGCTGCACCCGCCTGGCAGGCAGGTGGCACATCCTCCAGCAGCAGCGGGTCTCTTCCTGCCGCTGCCTGGGCTTTGCACAAACAAGCCCCGCTAGCTAGCACTCTGCCGTGAAACGCTCTTCCTCAATGACACCACGAAATGGAAAATAGGCTGATCTGCTTGCTTTGGTATCCACAGCAGGGAAGCTGTAAGAGCAGACAGCACCTCTGCTTGGGTTAAGTTCCCCGGCTTCTAGTTGTGTTACGCTGCGTGTCTGTCCCAAGAACTACCACCAGGAGCTGTTGCCTCTGAAACTGAGCTAGAAGGGATTCCGGTTAATGGCACGTGTTTGGTACCACTAGAGCTTTGCTGCTGCAAAGGTGCCGCAGTCTGCAGAGAAGTGTCCGGTGTGTAACATCCCCTTGTTTTGGGTTTCTTCTAGGCTCCGGTAAATGAGAGCCTCCCTCCAGAGGTTATGGCAAAATACAACCCGTATCTCATCCCTGTCCACTGCACTGCCAAGGTAAGTTGAAATACAGTAGAGCAGAGTCGGGAAGCTGCAGGGGAAGGCTGTCTAAGTCTTTGTCCAAGTGTAGTGACCCTTCTCTGCCTTTCCGCAGACAACGGGGGTGCTTCTTACTTGGGATATCTCCCCCTTTGGAACAGGAGTTTCTCAAAACCCCATTGGTGACGAATTGACAGTTAGCGCTGCCCTCACAGGGAGGGGTAAAAGCAGGGTCGGATAGCAAAGGGTATCCTCGAAAGTAGCTATTTTGCTTCCAAGTGCTGTACTGGAGCTCTTAGCAGGGATGGCTGAAAAAAGGACCCCAGGGAAGAGGTATTTTACTCAGCATTGTAAAGCAGCTGAGAAACAGCAAACTTTTTTTTTTTAGCCAAAGATAGCACGTTGGTGCGACAGGAAGCTGTGGTGACTTCTGAATGCGTAAAGATGCGGTTGAGTTTTTAAATAAAGAAAAGCCCTTTTCCTGGCTGATGTGTGCTGGGAGGTGCTTATTGCGCAGCTGCTGGTTAGACGGCACTTAAGTGTCCTTTCCACCATCGGGACCATCCTCGTGCTGTCAAGACGAGGATCAGTGATGACCAAAGAGAGGTCGCGGTCTCGGTGAAAAACAGATGCTGCTAGGGAAAAGGGCTGCAAAAGGTAGAGTTTGGGTGATTGTCATGGTTTGTTCTTCCTCTTCCCGCCTCCCTAGAGAGAGGACGATGCAGACAAAATAGGCACAGTGGAGTACTATGGGATGGGCGGCTACCCTGGCTTTGCCCTGCAGTACTACCCCTACTACGGCAAGCTCCTGCAGCCACGGTACCTGCAGCCGCTGGTGGCAGTGCAGTTCACCAACCTGACCTACGACATCGAGGTGCGTGTGGAATGCAGGGCCTATGGGCAGAACATCCAGTACAGCGACAAAGACCGCTTCCAGGGACGCTTTGATATTAAATTTGACATAAAAAGCAGCTGATTGTAAGCAAAACTCTCCCCCCCCCCCCCTCCTCCTAGCCATTTAAAAATGTTAAAAAAAAAAAAAAGAACAAAAAAGAAAACCTACTAGTCTTGAACAAACTGTCATACGTATGGGACCTACACGTAATCTATATGCTTTACACTAGCTTTCTGCATTTACTAGGTTAGAATGTAAACAAAGTGTAGCAATAGCCACAAATATTTATTCTACTGTAAATGACAAAAGAAAACAAAATTGAGCCTTGGGACATGCCCATCTTTACTGTAAATTATGATTCCATAACTGACTTGTAGTAAGCAGTGTTTCTGGCCCCTAAGTATTGCTGCCTTGTGTATTTTATTTAGTGTACAGTACTATGTTTGTCAGCCCCACCCCCCCCCCCCCCCCCCCTCTTCCTAGCCATTTAAAAATGTTAAAAAAAAAAAAAAGAACAAAAAAGAAAACCTACTAGTCTTGAACAAACTGTCATACGTATGGGACCTACACGTAATCTATATGCTTTACACTAGCTTTCTGCATTTACTAGGTTAGAATGTAAACAAAGTGTAGCAATAGCCACAAATATTTATTCTACTGTAAATGACAAAAGAAAACAAAATTGAGCCTTGGGACATGCCCATCTTTACTGTAAATTATGATTCCATAACTGACTTGTAGTAAGCAGTGTTTCTGGCCCCTAAGTATTGCTGCCTTGTGTATTTTATTTAGTGTACAGTACTATAGGTGCATACTCTGGTCATTTTTCAAGCCATGTATTGTATCTGTTTTCTACTTCTTGTGAGCAAAGACTTTTGCTGTCCAAGGTGTAAATACTCAATGGGACTAGAACTGGCATGATACTTCTCATTGTTTTGTTCCTTTTCAAAGAAAGGCCCACCTGTGAGACTATATTTAACAGCACTCCATACGGCTTCTGACTTTTCTGTGGTGTTAGGGTATTTTATTTGGAGGGGTGGCAGGGGAAACTAACTTAAGTGAAGTTAAAGAGAGTAGATGATTGTGTACTGTGCTTTGTAGCGAATGCTGTCTCTCTCTCCACCTTTTTCCCTCATCCTCCAGTACGTTGTGTGAGAGTCCGGGTCAGACTATCACTCTCCTCGGTGATAGGCATAACTTTTTTGCTTTGTATATTTTCCTTTTTTTTTTTTCCTGCTGGAGGCATCGCACACTGTGGTGCTAATGTCTTTATTGAATGTTTTAACCATTTTCATGGTGGAAGAATTTTATATTTATGCAGTTGTACAATTTTATTTTTTCTGCAAGAAAGTGTAATGTATGAAATAAACCAAAGTCACATGTTTGAAAATAAATCTTTATTTTAAACTTTATAAAAGCAATGCAGTACCCCATAGAATGGTGTTAAATGTTGTCTAAAGTGCAAAACTCTATGTTCTAACATGTAATAATAGCCAGGAGTACAGTGCTCTTGTTGATCTTGTATTTCAGTCAGGTTGAAACATTGGACAAATAAATGAATGAATACACCATTCTGTGTACAATGTCTCTTGCATTGGGTGAGGGTGCAGGCTGTTAGTTGTCCAGAATCTTGAAGAAGTACTGCACCTATTTTGAACAGAAAATGCATCTTTATTGTTCCCTCCCAGAACGTCTCAGCTGAAGGTGGTTGAAACATGCATTGGGATTGCCTAAAATTGCTGCTCCCACCTGTGACCCAAAGGGGTTACCCATCAGCTCTAGAACAGCAGGGTTTGGTGTTAGTTACTTGTTTCCTGCTCTCCTGGGCTGCATTAGAGGCTGCTGTGGCACTCGTGCCCATGATCACATCAGTCGGGAACCCAAAAAGTCTTCAGTGTATTCACCATGGCTGCAAGTTCTCCATGTCTGGAGGCACAGGCCACATGTTCTAGTAGTAACTACAGGTAAAAATGGTTTATCCTTAGGGCGGGTTAAAGCATCCACCAGTGGGATGCGCTGCAGGTCCAGAGGGGAGGGCGCACACTGAAGCCACAAGCAGAAGAAATGGAGTTTCACGGCAGTGACTTGCTCTGTGTTGCTGCTTGGCCAATAGCTCGGCACTGAGAACAGGCTATGCCTGACAGGGCTGCTCAGATGTGACAAAGTGTGGCAGCTGGCTTCCTGCAGGAGTCAAGATCACTTTACGCTGCATGACGCAGATTACCAGGGAGAATTTCTCCGTGTAAAGTGACAAAACATGACCATCCTAGAGCAAGCTCCTCGATAAACCCTTCCTGACCGGAACACACGATACTGGAAAAGCAAGCTGCTAAACTTTTTCCCATCTGCTAGAGGGAAAAGCGTAGTCACAGTACGCTATGGCGGTTAGCATATGTGTTTGGCTGTTTCATGCTACTCCCAAGGAGCAGGAGCTAGCAGAAATCTCACCTTCAACTGTTTCATTTGCTGCTGTACGTTTATAGTGAGGCAAGGATTTAACAAAGATGCTGTGATTAAAGCACTAAAATACAATACTCCCTGAAGGAAGCTCCACATGCACAAGAGCTGCAGGAAAGCTGAGCCATTTTGGCTCCCAGCAACCAACTGGTGGGTGTGCTACTGCCACCACTGGTGGGGGGGTTGCATGGCTCAAGGTTTGGTAGGATCAACTGCCCCTACAATTCAATTCTTAGGTGCACAGCCTGTGACAGTTTAAAAAAAAACCAAAACCACCAACACAACAACAAAAAAAATCCCCTGCACTGCTTTATTTCTAAAAGACCCAACTCATGGTTAGATAATTTATCTCCTTTTAATTTACTATATAAGCACAAAGTCCAAGCATGAACTAGTAATAAAGATAATGGCTTATTTCAGGGGTTGGGACAAACATTGTAGAAAACTGATGGTGCCTGTGTTGGCTTCAGTGAGCAAGTGTCAAAAGGGGCTCGTATAATGTACTCTTAGTGATGGCATATGAAATAAAGCAAAAAAAACCCCTTTACCTCCCCCATCACTTTCTAGTACCAAATCGGTGCAAGCAGGATGGCCCGCTCTGATCACTAATTAACTAGGTCCTAATGGCAATAGCTACCCCAGCTGCACACCCTGCAGCCACCCACTGAAAAGACCCAACTAATCGCAGGCCTCATGACAACTCTGCCACCAAAGTGCCATACCCCCCCCCGCCCCCCCAAAAACCCCCACAGCCCACGTGGTCAGAC